GGCCTGTGCACTGTGTCCAGCTCCCCCTCTTGACTTTTCAAAGCCTGGTGTATTGTCTCAGCTCTGTCTCCATGACAACCACCCTGTCCATTTCCTGCCTTTGTTTACGCTGTTCCCCCATATGCCCTGCCTCCTCCTCCTCCTGTCAATCTGCATCTTTGCCTTCCTGGAAGGTCTGTCTTTCCTGCTTTCTCCTCCATGTACCTGTGAGTCCCAACTCAGCAGTAGAACCACCATTCGGGACATCAGGAACTGTGCTGTGCACTCTTGAACTTCATCATCTCTTTGCAGCCAGGGTCAGCAATTTAATGCAGTGGTTAAAAGTGGGGACTCCAGAGGCCTTTAAATACGATGTATGTGACTTTAGGCAGGGCAATAACCTCTTTGGGACCTTGTGGTATGTACCTGCAGAGGTCATAGTGATATGAAGATTAACAGGGATAATGTATGGAAAACGCTGGGCTCTGTGCCTGACAGAGAGAGAGAGTGCTCAGTGAATATCAGCTATTATCTCTCATTTAATCCGCACCACTGAATCTGGCCACAGCAATGCCTTCCTTCTCTGACTGCCTTCTGTACTTACAGTTTTCCACATGCGTTACCTTTTTAGTTCTTTGTTCTCTGGTGTTTCCCTGGATAAGGCTGGACTGAGAGAATGGAGCATATAGTAATGTGCCCTGGGCATTCTAGGTGCCCCAAATTAGATTCCTTCTCTCCTTTTTTAATATTTAATTCTATGAAGAAGCATTATCCCTTTTGTCTTCTTCTGACCTCAGCCTCGTGGCCTTTTGGGTAAAAGTGGTAATATTCCAGAATTTTATAATCTGATATTAGGGGTGTAATTACTTGCAATGGGAGTGGCAGCTGTCAGAGAGTAATGGGGAAGAGTTTAGGATGGGGGTTGGAGCAGGACATTGGGGTCCTTCCGAGCAGTGTCCCAACTTGCCTGAGCGTGTGGATCACCTGGGGATGGCTCAGCTGCAGGCTCTGGTGCAGCAGGTGGTGGTGGCCTGAGATGCTGCACTGCTAACGAGCTCCCAGGTGATGTCAGTATGCTGGTCTAAGGCCCACACTTGGAATAGCAATCACTTAAACAATAAACATCAACATACACATTAAGAATCTTGTTTGAGGATCTTAGGCATCAAGGGTCACACTGGAAAGAGTAAGGTGGCTGTTTCTAATGCAAATCATGGGTCAGTTCAAAAGGGTAGATTCTAGCCAAAGGCGCCCCATCTGCTGGCTTTTCACAGGGGCTCTGGGTGCCTGAATGATTTAGTTTGGGGTTGACCATGTTCTTTGTCTCTTTTATCTTAGCACTTTTGGGCGTGTGGAAATCTATAATTTGCGTTCAGAGAAGGTTCCTACACTGCAAGCCTGGGTGATGCATGACATTGGAGATCGCAAGTATATGTTACTACTTTGTACCCAGATATTCTCACAGGTTATTTTAGTCCAGACAAGAACCTACAGTCACAAGAAAGCCTTGAGGACAGAAAGAGTGGCTCAGGAAATGAATGGGGCCTTACTCTACATTCAGCCCATCCCAACAACCTCCCAATTTTATCTCCATAATGGGTATCTCCCTAGTTTACACCTTTGGCTCCCCTGCTGACCTGTGAAGTCTTAGTGGAACCTCTGTTTCACCTCTTCATCTCAAGGCCTTGCACACCTGATACCTAGAAGAAACTAAGAGGCTCAAGAAATGTTTGCGAGATCTTGTTATTTTAAACACTTTCTTCTTTCTTTTCTAGTGCCTCGTGCTCAAGTTCCTCCATAAATGATCTGAAATTGATTTTAAGCAACAGGAACATTAAATTTACCTGCCAGGAAAACTACAGGTAATTAATTTCTTCTTGTAGAAGAAATGCCGTCTTCCTCTCTGCAGGCATTTCCCCTTGGGCCTTGATGTTGATCTGGGATGGTGACCTATGGTGATCTCTGTTCCTTCCCCAGCTTAACCCAGGGGTGTTCCTAGTCTCTGAAGAAAATACGGGGGTCCCTCATTTCAGGTTGCTGCTTCTGCTGTCTCTTGATCATCATTAACATCCATAGTCCATATCTGTGCCATGTTGGAGCCAGACATTCATTTTCATCTCCACATGTTATCATCAAACATTCCTTCTTGGTATTTATTTTGTTGGCTTTACACATGAAATAAAACTGGGCCTTACTTTAAGTTATTCAGTCCTGGACTTCACCTTTCTCCATATTGCTGCTGCAGGAGAGGAACTTTTGTGAATGTTAGGTGGTCCACACATCTCCTTTCATTGATATCTTGAACCATAGATAACCCGTACTGCCTCTAGATATCCCTTTTTGTTTTCTTGTCATAGGCCTCTCAGGCTTCTACAGTGTGTGCAATATCCGGAGGATTCATCCTGTTCTATACAATGAGCCAATCAGCATTGCGATTTTGGAGCTTGGAACCCTTCTGGTACACATCACTGTGCATGAATCAGGAGACACGCTGGTGGAAAGCCTACTTCCTGGCATCCCATTCCTTTGTCATCATGTCAGCACTGGAGATAGATGCCTTTCCTCCCAAAGTCTGAAAACAACTTTTTTTTTACATAGTTGTTATTTTCATCTCCTAATAATTATTAAATTGATTATGTAAAATAAAAATAAAAATTTTATACTAAATTATTTCATTTTTATTTATATATGATGCTTTTCTGAAGTTTATATGTTGGTAACATTGTTTCTATCAAAAATTGACCACACGAAATTTCTCTGATTGTAACAGGCAAAAAAAGTAAAAAAAATGTAGATCTCCAAGCTTTTCAGAAAGCATTACATTTCCAAATGAATGACCTTGTCTCAGCATATATTTTGTACCCTTCCTACAGATAAACTATAATGCCATTTTTATGGGTCATGTTGGGGAAAATATTCTGTAGAAAATAAACTACCCATGTACTTGGCACTTTACCTGTAACCTTTCTACCAGCTCTATGAGGTTGTTACTATCTCTCATTTGTTAGATGAGAAAGTGAAGTTCAGAGAGGTTATATAATTCACCTAAAGTCATACATTCATTATAGTTCAAGGTGGAGGCTGAATTTCAACTCAGCTCTGTCTGACTCCAAAGTATATGTCTCTTTCTAGGCCTGTGATACCAAACTGACAGTGCCTTGTGTTCTCTTCCAATAAATGCCTGTTGGATTCAATGGAATACAATAGAATCTGGAATGTGATTTTTTTCTGGATGGCTTCAAAATAGATACATTTTTTTCCCTTTTCTTCTTCTTCCTCCTATTCCTCATGTTCAGTGTCTTACATATGTAATAGGCAGTTAAAATATGTATTTGTTCCTCATACAGAGAGTTCAGCGTGTTCATTTCTTCCTTTTTTTCTCAGTCAGTCCTGGGCAGGGATTATCACTTTTGTTACTCTTTCAAAGAACCAGCCTTTAGATTTGTTGTTTTTCTCTTTCTATTTTTATTATTTTTTGTTCTTTTTATTATTAGAGATATACAGATACCTTATAATTTCTTTGGATTTTTAAACTCAGCTTCTTGAAATGGAAGCTCAGATTACTGATTTTTCAGCCCATTTTCTTTTCTTATACATATATTTTAGTACTATAAATTTTCCTCTAAGTGCTTCTTTAGTTGCAGCTCTTAAGTTTTGATATGTCTGTTTTCATTATCATTCAGTTAAAATAGTTCCTATTTTAATTGTTATTTAGAAATGTGTTGCTTAATTTTCAAACATCTGTTGATGTTCTAGTATTTTTTAAAACATAGATGCATTGAATGAAAATTAATGTACTAATTTGAGTCTCCTTGAGGGAACTGAGGAGATGTGTTGAAAATGCGTAAATTTTGGAGGTAGGAATTTCTGGGTTCATATGTTAGTGTTACTCTATGATCTTGAATGATGAAACACCTAATCTCTCTGAACTTCAATTTCCTTGCACTCAAATAAGAATTATATACTTACCCCCATTAAACTGTGGTTAGAACTAAAGAAGATGAGAATTGATGAGGCGTAGTGCCTTGTATAAGCAAATACTCAACCAAGGTCGGCCCCTTTCTGCCTGCCGCTGGTTGGCAATGCAGTTTCCTCAGGAGTCCTTGCATTACAGCCACTGTGGTCAGTCCATGGATTCTTCACTGGCTCCTTCTTCACTTAGGGACATCCTCACGGGACTTGGTTTTGGCTAGAATGAGGCTGGTGCTTGGGACCAGTTCTGATTAAGATGCAGACTTGCCCTAAGTTTCGGTTAACTCTACTTGGAGAATGTCTGCAGAAACAGGTCCCTGCTAATCTCCCGGATGACCTGGGTGTTTTCCACTCAGGACAGTTTCTGGCTTATTGTCGGGCTTGCCTGCCGATGTCTGGACTCTCTAAATGTACCTTCCTTATACACTAGGATACCCGTGGAAGTGGCTGCCTGTGCCCAGAAAATGTTGCTCTTTGCATTGCCTTCCAAAGAGGAAATGGATAGAGTAGAAATCAATTTGCAAGAGACTTCCCCCAAGAAGACCATTTGAGTGTTCAAGTTCAAAGCCAGTGGACACTAACAGGAGGTGATCCCATGGTTTTCACACCTTGCTGCAGAGGCACTGGGAGCCCTGAAAGTGGCTGGCAGCTGGAGTGAGCCCTGGGAGCCCTGAAGGTGACTGGGGCTAGGGTGAGCCCCGGGAGCCCTAGAAGGTGACTGGCAGCTGGGGAGCTCTTTTCTCCTTGCACTACGTCTGTATCTTTATTACCATGCCACCCTGTCCCTGCCTCTTCTCTGTCTGCAGTTCCAACTTGGGTGCCTTTGCTGTTAGCCATGCTGTCATCTTTAGCCCTAAGGCCTTCTGACCTGCATATATAAACAAATCCTCCATATCCTTCTTCTTATAAGTGACTGATGTGACCCACGCACCAACCGAGCTCTCCCGACTCGTCAGCCAGGAGCTTACTGAAAGGATACCTGAGATGATTGGGTGGGAGACTGGAAAAGAAAGAGACTAGAAATGAAAGCTAGGGACAGAAGGTCCACCCAATGCTGATGGCAGAGAGTGGCCCCGTTTATTATTTGTACACAACTTTTATAGCAAAAGTAACTTTCTTTAGGTAGGGGGGTTTTGGGAACTTGAGGGAATAGTCCCCTCCTCCCAGGGAACACCTCCCCTGGGGCTTTCCATAGGGTGTGAGGAAGCAGTCTTCCTAGAGTAAAGCCAAACACAGCAAGCAGAAATTCTTAACAGGATGGCATTCCACTCCGTAGCTTTCAAGGCCGTTGGCTGTTTTCTCCTCAGTGGCCTACCTTCCCACGCTGATCACCTGGGCCTGAGAGCCTGTCAGCCTGCCAGCTCTCAGGCGTAACCCTCACTGCAGACCTCCGGCTCCCTACAAGTGATGTCTTTACTGAATTGCTGACATCTCATCAACCTCATACTCATATACATGTATGTATATTTATGTGATTGGAAGGATCAATAGAAGTACAAATTTGTAAATTTTGTAGTTGTAATTTTATATATTTACAAGCTGTTTTGCAAAAGACATGCATTACACTCTTCATCAAGAAAAAGCAATGCACTAAATCCATTATTTTTTAAAAAAATTTATTATAAATATATTAAGCACACAGTATTATATTCATTTCAGTAAACACAATAATTATTCAGCATTTATATACCTACAGAAGTGATCACCTTGATAAATTCAGCACCCATCTGACACTGTACTATACTGCCACAATGTTATTATCTATATCTTTATGCTGTACATTATATCCTTATGACTTATTTGTTTTATACCTAGAAATTTGGACCTCTTATTTTCCTTCACCTTACCTTCTTTTTTAAAATTTTGAATTACAGTTGATATTAAATATCATTTTGCATTAATTTCAGGTATACAGCACAATGGGTAGACATATAATTTAAGAAGTGATCCCCCTGACTAGTTTAGTACCCACCTGGCACTATACATAGTTATTACCAATCCCCCTCCCATCTGGCAACCATCAAAATGTACTCTGTATCTATGAGTCTGTTTCTGCTTTGTTCATTTACTTTGTTCTTTAGATTCCACATATAAGCGAAATCACATTGCATTTGTCTTTCTCTGTCTGGCATACTCTACTTAGCACAATACCCTCCATGCCACTGCAGTTGACCAGAATCCATTCTCTTCCCTGGCCTAGCAATACTGCGTTGTGTACATGTACCATCTGTTTTTTATCCATTCATCTATGGAAAAATATTCAGGTTGCCTCCACATCTTGGTCATTGTAAACAATGCTGCAATGAACTTACGGATGAACATGTCCCCTTGAACTAGTGTTTTGGGTTTCTTTGGGTAAATATCAGAAAGTGGGATTACTGGGTCCTTTTTTATGTCTTGCTTTAAAGTCTATTTTGTTTGGTATAAGTACTGCTACTCCAGTTTATTTTTTGATGTTTGTTTCCATTTTCATGAAATAACTTTTTCTGTTCCTTTACTTTCAGTCTGTGTGTGTCTTTCAATCTGAAGTGAGTCTCTTGTAGGTAGCATATTTAAAGTTTTGGTTTTCTTATCCATTCAGCCACCTGGTGTTTTTGATTGGAGCGTTTAATCCTCTTACATTGAAAGCAATTGTCAATAGATATGTAGTTATTGCTATTTTATTATTTATATTTTTATCTTTTTTTTTTTTTTAACCCCCATCTTAAAGAAGTCCCTCGACATTTTTTGTACTACTGGTTTGATGGTGATGAACTCCTTTAGTTTGTTCTTGTGTGGGAAGCTCTTTTTCTGTCCTTCAATTTTAAGTGATAGCCTTGCTGGGTAGAGTAACGTTAGTTGTAGGTTCTTGCTGTTCATCATTTTGAATATTTTGTGTAAATCCCTTCTGGCCCACAAAGTTTCTGTTGAGAAATCAGCTGATAGTCTCATAGGAGCTCCTGTGTAGGTAACTAACCACTTTTCTCTTGCTGCTTTTAGGATTTTCTCTTTGTCTTTAACCTTTGTCATTTTAATTATAATGCATCTTGGTGTGGGTCTGTTTGGGTTCAATTTTTGGAAGTCTCTCTGTGCTTTTTAGGCTTGTGTGTCTATTTCCTTTGTCAGATTAGAAAAGTGTTCAGTCATTATTTCTTCAAATAGATTCTCAATCCCTTGCTTTCTCTCTTCTCCTTCTGGTACCCCTATGGTGTGAATGTTGGTATGCTTGATGTTCTCCCAGAGGTCTCTTAAACTATCCTAATTATTTTGGATTCTTTTTTCTTTTTGCTATTTTGATTGGGTGTTTTCAGCTCCCTTGTCTTCCAAATCACTGATTCAATCGTCCGCTTCAACTAGTCTGCTGGTCATTTCTTCTAGGGTATATTTCATTTCAGTTTTTGTAGTCTTCACTTGTGACTGATATTTTTTAATGGTTTCTATGTCTGTTTTTACGTTTGCTATCTCTCTTTTGAAGTTCTCACTAACTTCCTTGAGCATCCTTATAGCCATTGTTTTGAACTCTGTATCTGGTAGGATGTTTGTCTCCATTTTGTTTCATTATTTTTCTGAAGTTTTCTCCTGTTCTTTCATTTGGGGCATATTTATTTGTTTTTTCATTTTGGCTGCCTCTCTGTGTTTGTTTCTATTTCTTAGGCAGTGCTGCTATGTCCCTCAGTCTTGCCGGGTGGCCATATGTAGTAGGTGTCCTGTGGGGCCCATGGCACAGTCTCCCTGGTCACCTGAGCCGGGTGCTCCAGGAGTGTCCCTTGTGTGGGTTGTGTGTGCCCCCCTATTATAGTTGAGACTTGATTGCTGTTGGCATGTCAGTGGGTGGTATTGACTCTAAGGCTGACTGGCTGTGGGGTTTGACCATGTCCACAGTTTATGGAGCAGGATTTGCCCCAGTGGGCTCTGGTGCCTGTTGAGACTGCCCTTTGTGTATGCCACTTGTGGGGCTAATTGGGCAAGTATGTTGGTTCTGGGGCCCCTTGGGAGGGGCTCCAGAGGAGGCCCAGGTCAGCCACTGCCTGTGACGTGCATGGTCACTGCCTGTGCTGTTCCTGGAGATACATTGAAGAGGCCACGCTGCAAACTGAGGATGTCTGCCACCAGTACCGGGTTTGGGGTAGCTCCACAAAAAGCCAAGTCACTCCGAGGCCTGCCGCTACCTGCTGGCTCCCGGAAGGTTCAGCCGCTGATGAGGCCTTCTGAAGTATGAAAGTAGGGTAAGGCAGGGTGTCAATGAGTCAGCAGGGTCAAGTAGAGAAGCTCACCTGGCCAATTGGCTTCAGATTTGGCCGTGTGGGTGCAGGCTCAGCACAGAAAAGATGGCGTCAGCCTGCTTGCTGCACAGGAGGAAGGCCCTACACAGGAAAATGGGGACTGTCCCTGCAGTCCTTGCCCTGAAGTTCCACAACTCAGTCTCTCCCCATATGCCTCCAATATCCCCGGAGTCACTGTCCCTCCGCCGGAGCCCAGGGTGTGTGCCTGCGTGGGCCCTTTAATAGGATGCAGCCTTTCTTCCCACCTGATGGTTGGAATCCCCACTGTTTTTCACAGTGAGCAGTTAGTTGTAAGGGTTCCTCTTCCCAGCACATCACTCCAGGTGGGCAACCTGGTGTGGGGAGCTGGGGTCCCTCACTCCTTCGAGGGAAACCTCTGTGGCCAAGATATCTCTCCGGAGTTTCCACTGCCACACATGTGGTTGGTACCAGCCCATTTCATATCTCTGCCCTTTTTACCAGTCTCGACCTGGATGCTTCTTTATGTCTTTAATTACAAAACTTCTGTTCAGCTCGACTTCAGATTGTTCTCCAGGTTGATTGTTCTATAATATAGTTGTAATTTTGATGTGTTAGTGGGATGAGGCAAGCACTATGTTTATCTACTCTGCCATTTGGATCTTTAGACTAAATGCAATTTTTAAAAAGAAAAGAGTAACTTGTACATTCTTGATGATCAACTAATGTAACTTCATA